ATGAGGTATTTTCCTATAGGTGATGTCATGTGATGCTTTCCTTTAGGTGATGTGATGAGATCTAGGCACGAGCTACGTCACAGAACGTTTTACGTTGCTAAGACGCGCACCACTGCACGCAATCTCCTTCCCATAGGCCTTTGCGCTTTACGCAATAGTGCCTCTGCCACAGGCAGTCTTCAATTTTGTGGTCAATCACCTCACTGCGCACGGCCATTTTCTTGTACCTGTTACATCTGAAAACGTACTACAAAAAGTGAGAAAAAAACGTATGTGACATCCGAACTATTTATTAATGTCAGACCTCAATAAAAACGTAAATACGAACCATTTTATCGCGGACTATGTTTTGCAAGGTAATGTTACTGTTACAGTAGTGAAATGGCGCACGTGATACACTAAAACTTGGAAGAAAAAACGTTCTGTTATCGTATATAGTTGGGAAAGAAACATTAAAGACAAATTTCACTGAAAGGAGTTTCCTAACATTTCCGTTCATCTTGTATTCTGGTGAATATTTCAATACTATTTCTGGCTTGAACGGGTTCGATTTTGCGCGTCTAACAGCATAGAACACAAAGGTTCTAGTAAGTTTATAAAGTTAGCCATTTATTGTAGAAACTAATGCTTTGGCAAGTAGGAAAGGATTGCACTTTTCTAGGGCAAGTCATGTATATTTTAATCTAATTAACAGAACATTTTATCCGGAGTCGGGGCGTGAAACGTCTTATTAAAGCTCAGACTGCTTACTTTACTTCCTATGTCGACAGCAACTATGAGTTTAGAATTATTTCTCAGTACTTATTCACTGTTACAATGCTGTACCATTACTTTCACCATCCTACTACAGCCAGATCTGAAGGCCTTTGCCGCATTCTGGCCACGCTGTGTGGCGCGGATCGCGTGGACGGGTTATTAAGCATCCTTCATCCTTTTGGGGGGATGCCCGGTGGCCGAGGGGAAGACGTGTAGTGAAGCTAGGCGATTAGGTGCCGTACGCGAGCGCCGGTTCGAGTCACGCACGCAGTACGTGTTTACTATAATTAGACATAGTCTTTACCTTGCCGTTTATTCGGTGTTATTTGCTTACGCATAACTTTGTTAACCGACAGGGTCTTGTAGTTCGAACATATTCGAATATGCAAATGAGTTCTATGCAAAACTGCTTTGATGATAAGTAACGCGCATCGAACTGTTCGGAGTTCGCACTGCACGGTACATGGGCTCTGCGCGAGCTGCAGTGGAACGTCGGTCGAAGAGCCGGTGAAAGCGGGGGTGGTGTAAGTAATCGCGAGCAACCGAATTTATATAGATGTATGTTGCACATGTAGGTGTAATCTTGTTACACTGTTCAGTAGAGTCTCACCACCTATCCCATAGTACAGTTTTCTAGGAGTGTTTGGCTTTTGTTTTCTCACTGTGATAGTTGTCAGGCGGTGAAAATACCCGGATATCCGCCCGAGGGTAGGTGATGTGATCATCATATGATGATTTCATTAGGTGATATGATGTATGCTGTCCCATAGGACATATATCTCCCATATGTGATGTAGTGTGATGCTGTCCTATAAGTGGTATCATGGATGTTTACTTATAACTTTACACTAAAATGATGGGTTTATGTTTCAAAAAGGAATAAACTTTTGCAACTTGAATAAAAGTATGTTCACAGGAAACCCGGGAACTATGTTTGTTTGTTTATTTATTTATTTGTAACAAGTAAACGATTTCAAATACATTACTTTCATATTAATTTCAGCATTCATTTTGAAATCATAAAAATATTACATTAGCCAATGCAATTTTTATTATTTTCATTTTAATTTCAATAGTTGTGTATGTTTGTTCTTTGGTTTGTTGTTGTTTTGCCATGCTTTATATGGATTAGTTATAGATTATATCGATCTTCAGTCACACTTTCCGTGTTCAAATTCAAAACCTACAGTATAACCATATAGACATGCAACCGTCTTCTAAGCGATTAATCGGGATTACCGCGGGCAATATAAATTTTTTCTGAAATTGACATATAGATTGACAATTAAAATACTCGTTGCATGTGTGCTTCTGTATGGTCTATGATCGGACTGATTGTTCTGTTTTCTACTCTTGAAACGCTCATGTACTTGTACAAATTATAGTAAGTGTCATAAAACGATTAGTCCGGAGTCGTAAATAACGGATGAGTGTAGGAGTGCGACATTGAACGAACGGAGGCAAAACATCAATGGTCTGTGCATGGACGTACTGTAAAGCGCGTAACAATATGCATCGCCTTGCTTAACGACTTTCACCTTTATCGAGTGTATCCTTCCGCGACCGTTAGGTACTTTCTTGTTTTTCGAACTAGTTTAAAACGGGACACCTTCTTTGAGCGTATGTTTCATGGTTGGATAATATTCAGAATAATCGAATATTAAGAAAAAATAGCTATTTTTATTTTTCCGTCGATGAATCCACTCTCGAACTATGTTTCCAATTAGTTTGTATTCGTATGTAAATGAGGGGGTGAAACCGAGGCAATTGCCTTAGATGCGTAAGAAATGTTTTGGTGGTATCGTAAATAGTAACCTAGTACGAACAGTTTATAGCATGGTAACTCGACGTGGAGTTCATGTGTTTTTCGCACAATAACACAGACTAACGCTGCACATGTCTCGAAGATTTTACGAAAGTCGAATTTCTCCTTACGTAGGTGACGTTCGAGGCTTAAACAGGTAAGCCACTAGCAACGACAGCGTGCTTGGAAACCATGTATTTATTTATGAGTAGTCTGCTGTGCTGGGTTTTCGCGTTGCTCCGAAAAGCAACAAGAGTGAGAGTAGTCGGTCCGTCGCCTAAAATTCTATTAGTTTTAGGTTACTTGTATTATAAAAGACACCAATTCAGTGTCTATTTATGTAACATTTTCGTGTCGTGGCCTGGCAGCTCACATTCAGCTATAACTTGATATTTGTTTCAGACTGAAATATTATCAACTAATGAACTATTATATTTATAATGACCTTCGCATATGGCACGCCGTGGTGACCCTGACCACACACACTGTGAAGTGACACCTTAGGATAAACATCATTTGTTTTATCGTAAGTACAAGTAATTTGAGCCAAGTCTTGTACAGTTTCGAGTCGTTCCAATTTTGTTGTTTATCCGTCTGTCAGTGCTACATGTACCACACTATTTACGAGTTTGCAAATCAATTTAAAGGCTTTAAGGCGTTGTCAGAGAAAACACGTTATTATACAAGGGATGGTTTCCGACAAACGAAAATTATAGAATTACTGTACACTGGTCGTAAATGCGATAGTTGAAACAAAAATTATAATCACAATATTTAAGCAGAAACATATTTTTTTTTTTATAATTTGCCTATCTTCTTCAAGTTGTTCTTCCGGGGATTTTTAGTTCTATACTAACTAATGTAATCAGCTAATCACTTTAAAAAAAGCGTTGCTGCTAATTATAATATTAATAAATATTTAATCTAAATAGTGTAAGAATGTGATAAAACAAGTGTTTCTAGTTGATAAAATTAGCCAACATAACTAATGAGACACTGGTGTATTCTTTTAAATGAAGTAATTTAAATTAGATGATATGAAGATTTTTTCTCTTGAATATTTAATAATGCATGTCACACAATGACAATATTATCTATTCCATAGTAGTAGCTGTCATAATTTGTTATTTAACGTAACTTTTATTTAATATAAACATAATATCATATTTTAGACTTCCAATAATTGTGGTACATGTATTTGGTGTAGAACAGGGTTGTGAAATTTGTTTGTGAAATTCATCATGATCATGTTACTGCATATAAGTGCAATACATTATAACCTCCCATTGCATACAATGAAAAACTATTATCACACTGGGAACTGACAAAATTAAATGTTAATTTTTTGAAATGTTTCAATAATATTATAAGATTTTTCATGCCGTGTTAGCAAGCAAAATTTTGACATATGAAAAAATAATTTCACTATAGAAACAAATGTAAATTGAAAAATTTGTGCTATTTTCTTTGACTTTTTTTTACCCCCCCCCCCCCGTCCCATCTTTTTTTCATACTACAGGTAGAAGCATATACTTTCGATTAGCATTATTTACTCACAGCCATATGAGGATGATAGTGCTTTCAATAAAAAAAATATACATGTATTTATTTTCAAAATTCACTGGTATTGATTAGATTTACTGTGCAGCTATTGCTACAAGACATGCCAGTAACATTTGTCACTTGTTTGTTTAAACAAGGTTGCGACTTTTATTTGCAAACAATTAATTTCAGCATTAAGTTGACACATACAGTTAACACAAAGAAATTTCTTTTTTTTGTTTGAAGATTGGACTAAATAGTATCATTGCTAATGCATATTACACAGTACTAATTACAGGTCAACAATTTTAAAATAAATGTTATTATATGTACACTGTATTTTAATGTGTATTGGTAGGATGGGGGATGGCAGGTGGGTGTTCTATTGAAATCCTACTCCATACTGTGTGTCCTGTTTCATAGAATACTGATAATTTGACTAGCAGTTGATTCTGATTTTAGCTTAGCAGAAACTTTTAAACTATTGGTAGTTAATAATTCTACGTGTGTGCATTTATCTGGAGGGTCCACCTGTGAGAAGTTGTTAGCAAATTTTGATTTATGGCTTAATTTACTTAAATTAAGTTTAACAGATAATACAACTTTAAATCAGGCTCAAATGTCAACATTTTGTTAAAAAAAAATTATCAACAGTGTGATCTGTGCCGCGATTTGCTGCCTGAACGCTTAGTACAAACTGATATCACGCTCTTGGTGTTAGTATGACATGGCGACAGAGGAAAGTATAGCTAGATATGGTTGGATGCTGTAGTAATGAATGCAGAACGTTGTTGGCGACGCATATTTATGTGCTGCTGCAATTGATTTCTTCTTGCAATGCTACATCAACATAAAAAATAACTGTTCTTTAAATCCTTTTTTGTTGTTCATGTGCGAAATGAATACCATACAGCAAATGCATGTGATTTCAGTAGAGGTAATGATTTTAACTGGTGGACCTTTTGAACATTTGATGCATTTTTCAAAATAAAAAAAAATCCCTGAAAATTATGCATTAAGAATTCATTCCAATTCTAGATTTGTAAACAAAATTTAACTAAAAGACTGTTTTTGTGAATTTTTACATTCATTCATTCATTAATTCATTCATTCATGGGATCCCATTTAGACTTTTTGTCTGTCATGGTGAATCAATTGATATTAAATCATTATTTTTGTTATTTCTCATTGAATAGGGGCAAATTTTTAATATCAAATATGTTGAAAATATGGATTCTAGTAGTGTTGTACATTTTTATACTCTGGTAATAATGCAAAGTTTCCTTTGTTTCTGTTTCTAGGAATTTATAAGAAATTTACAAGCATCCTACCTTCAAAAACTCAAAATGTCAAACTCTACTACAGACCCTGGTGCATACTATTGCTATGACAAGGGACTAATTTTACCAATAGTTAACGAATCTACATGGTCAATCGGTGCACGAACTACAATCTACCTTATCGGGCTGCTATGGAGTTTTATGGGTGTCTCCATCATTGCGGATATTTTCATGTGCTCTATTGAAGTGATCACTAGTAAAACAAAAACTGTAAATATAGCCAATCCAAAAGCTCCGGGAGGAACGGAAGAAATTAAAGTACGGGTGTGGAACTCTACTGTAGCCAACTTGACCTTAATGGCTCTGGGGTCAAGTGCTCCTGAAATTCTTCTCTCTGTGATTGAGGTTGTTGGTAATGGTTTCCAAGCTGGTGAGCTTGGTCCAAGTACAATTGTTGGTTCTGCTGCATTCAATCTCCTTGTCATCACTGCAGTGTGCATCAGCTGCCTTCCAACTGGTGAAGTCCGCTACATCAAACTGGTGAAAGTGTTTGCACTCACTTCCTTCTTCTGTATATTTGCCTATATTTGGCTTTTTTTGGTACTTGTTGTCAGTAGCCCAGATGTTGTTGAACTCTGGGAAGCCATCTTCACTTTTCTTTGTTTTCCCATCCTTGTCATCTTAGCGTTTGTGGCTGACAAGGACTACTGTGGGAAGAAAGAAGTTGAGGATGCTGAACTAGCTCGACTTGGCATTGGTAAGTATCTTATAGACTATATGGACTATGCAATGCTCTTTAAATTCGTTCGTTGTCTAAGCTATCTAGGCTAATTCAGATTGACTATAGTAATGGTTGTGTTTAAAAGTAATTTGAAAATTGACCAATATATTGTAATACTGAGATGTTTGACCGGAAACATGGCACTATAATGCGCTCAGCAAGTTGCCAGAAAGGACTCAAGTCAGTTTTGTGTGAATTGATGAATTACCTGAAGGGGTAGTTAAAAATAAACGTCCCATTGTGTTCACTAATCACCAAAGTAGAGGGAAAGAAGGTAGGTTGAATATTCCGCAACTAATCAAGTTAACATTCAGTTACTTTACTAAGTCTTCAAAGGCAATTTTACTAGCAAACTATTACTTTAAATTCAGATAAAACTAGAAGTAAATTGGATGTTATTGGTCACCCTTATATAACTTTCTGATGTCAACAGACATTTATAAATATAGTTGGAAATAATAATGCAAAACATTTTAATTAGCGAATGATTTTTTCACTGCTGACAGTTGTCATGGTAATAATCACACCTATTTTGATGCAACATGCCACATACAATAATTGTTGTAATTATAATAACAATGTTCTCATCAACAATGCCAGCTAGGTTGTCTGTTATTCCAGTGCCTATCCTTCAGGTGGTTTTTTAAGAAAAACTGAATATGCAAAGTTCTTTTCAAATAACCGTTTGTGCTTTGTAGTTGTGTCATGAATACCTAAGAATGCCAATGAATGGTATTGTCTGCATAAAGCATTGACATTTTAAACATGCAGTATTGAAAAAAAACACTTTCATTTGAACTCTTTTTTTTCCCGCTAAAAAAAGAACAAAATTTTGTGAAAATCACTGACTTTATAAAATTGATTTAGACCAGGCTCTTAGCCAGCCACCACCAGTCATTTTAAATAGGCACATTTTAGGGAAGCACAATATAGATTTTGGATAGGCACTTTTTATCTGGTTATAACCCTGATTTATACCTCAATCATTTGCATGCCAAATAATATGCATTTAATTTTATTAATATTTTTGTTGCACAGTAATTGACTGATATGGTATCTTTTCTAGAACTACTATATCATTTTTAGATTCATTAGTAGAATAATTTCTAGTTCTCAGTATACCATTCCATACATGAAATCAGACTAATTTGTCACAATTTTAAATCATGGTAAGTGCTCATAAAAAATATGAATATTAATTTCTAATATGATACTAGGCCTAGCACTGAGGTGATCCTATAGCTCTGGACAAATAAAATTGCTATTTGGACAACTGAATTGTGACTATTTTACCTGATAAAAATGAATGAAATGTTACTTTACTTTAACAGACTATATTAAATATATTAAGTAACATACATTTTGGACAAGTGAGTTAACGTCAAGACCCAAACTCTATAAACAGTGATTCAATGAACAAATAATTAATAGTGACTCAATGACTAACAATATTAAATGAATAATAATTTAATGAAAAAAATAATAATTAGTAAAATATTAATGATATTGAGTATAAAGAAAAGATGAACAGGGAAAAAAATGAATTAAAAAAGTGTGGTTTTTCAAAAATATTTGAAAAATAATGAATATACATTCAGTGATGACAATATTGACTAGTGACTGAACATAATGATTTGTGACAGACGAGCTATGAGCCTATGAGTCTATGTACCCATAATTGAGTTCAGATTTAATACTGATATATTTAAGCTGATTTAGAATGTAATGACAGTTTTACAACCAATCTAATGCCAATCTACCATTCTGAGCACCTGTTCCTTACGACATGATCAACTGTAACAGTGCCTCACCAACTAGTTTTAAATCTGGCATAAACAGCACCACAGGAAATAGAAAATAATTTAGTTGGCTCTGAGAAGCATTTTTTGTGGATATTATATTCAATGCCTGATTAATAATATAGTGAGGCAGTTGACAGGGATTTGACCACTTAGTATTAGTTTTATGAACAAAATAAAGAAAGAAATTGATGTGTATCATAGAATTCTTAATAATACCTGCACACGTACCATAATAAATATGGTCCTTGAGTTTTATGGGAAGTTGATTGGATGATGAATTATAAGATTCTACATTATCTACAGAAACTATTATTCAGATATAAATTTTGTAATTTAATGATATATGCACAGTTCATGAAGTGAAGCAAAATAATAAATTTACTCGTAACCATAGAACCATTTTAACTTCACTTACAGATGGTGATAACGTTAGATTTGCACCAGGTAACTATACTAACAGGTCATTCCACAAGCATGTACATGAATGGACGATAATAGAAAGGATATGCAACTTTAGTAATGTAACTATGAAACGTTCAATTCATTCCTGTAATACTTCTATTATTCATACCCCTCTATTATTTGGATCACCTAATTTCTGTTTAAACAATTCAATCATTGGCATTGCTATGTTCAGAATCAATCTACTTAGACATTTGTTTTTATTCATGAGAAATATAACTTGTTACACCTTGTAATGCACCTTTTTTTGTTAGGATTTACATTATTTTGTAATTAAAAAATATTTATTATATCATAGTTTAATTAATGGAAAGACTATTGGATCACATTTCAGTCATCTTGTTCATGTAAAGAATCTATAAAATCTTGTTGATCATTACAAGATTGGCCCTGATAGCCCACTCAGTTCTAACACTTGAACCTAGACCAACCAGTCACGGAAATCCTTGCTTATTTACTAGTTTGGATGATTGACTTCCAGATTCTATAATCTTATTATAGTTAATTTGATGAAGTTGCATACCCTTGCTTCGCATGCTCATCCCTTCTACTAAACCCAGTAAAACTATAATTAGAATATTTATGGTATGTCCTTGTCCTGTGTTACATTTGGATCCTATATGTGAGTGTTACCGGTAGTCTTAATTAAGTCAGAATCTGCTGATTGGCCAGATGATGGTTGACAATGTCAATTGTTGTCTTCTGTTATTATTAGTCCCCGTTCAGACGCAGTCCGAAAACGAGGACTTATGTATTGACCTCTGTGCGTCCGTGTGTCCTGTATCTTAGAAATGCCTGCACCACTCACAATCAAACTTCACACATACTGTAGAATACTTTATTTTCGCTATTTTCGCTGAAGGGATGATTGCGTGAAAATAAAATCCAGTGAATATACTTTTTTTCCTATATTTCACATTAAACTCATCAGAAATCAGTGAAAATAAATTCCATACAAAACGCCCAAAAAGCCTTTTCAGCGAGAATTAATTCCAGCAAAAAAAAAATATTCAACAGTACATCATATTCTACACATGCACATCAACTTGTTTCACGATCTGATTCAAGATGGCCGAATGGTGGCCATTTTTGTGCTAAAAAATCATCAAATATCAACATTTCTGGCATTTATGGATGGATTTTGTTCAAACTTGGTACATATATTAGACATTACGGGTTTCTGATGCACGTCATTTTATTTTTCAGATTGGATTCAGAATTGCTATCTAGCAGTCATTTTGTTTTAATGAATGGGCTTCTAGAGCCATATCTCTGACATGCTTTGACTGATTATGTTCAAATTTGATATATTCATTATACATGTTTTCATAATAGCTGGTTTTGTATTAATTAATGCTGTTCCAGAGCTATATCTCTCAATACTTGTTTGACTATCAGATACAAATGTCAATCATTTCAATGTTAAACAATCATCATAATCATATTCCAGCTATATTACTATAAACAAAACTATATATCTTAAATTCAATAACTAACGGGGACTGTGCCATGCATGGCTTGTTTTGTGTGTAATCATCATCCGTAACTCCTAATGTATTATCATTTATGGTTTGACTGATACACATACATTTGTATAAAACTTCATGTCTTAGATTTGTTTGATGTTGTGTCTATGTCTTGTCAAATACAGAGGTAAGCCAGTCTGTCATCTTGTACCATACTATTCTCATATCCCATCATTATTGTTATTGTTGTCAGTGTTGTTGGTATATGCCCACCGCTGTGTTTTTACATGAGGAGTGATGTGTTTCTTGTTTTTTGTCGCTTAATAACTGATTAACTGATGATGTTTTTTTGTTTTACCAGGCCATCCGGGAGATCGGTACTTAACTGCAGAAAATGTAACCAAAGAGGGTGTAGCTGATGTGATGAAAGAGATAGGCAAGCATCCAGATATAACCCCAGAGCAAGCTGCAACAATTGCAGCCATCGAAGCTGAAAAGAACTCTCCTCATACCAAAGCTTGGTATCGTGTTAATGCAACAAGAAATATGACTGGAGGACAAAAACTGATTCCTGCCGTGGATCCTAAATTACTTTCTGTACGTGTAATGTTGTTCATTACTGGTGTATTATATAATAGATAAAATGTTCAATAAGATTACAATATTTTGTACATAATCAAGAAACTGATTTATTTTTATTCTTAAATTATAATGACTTATTTCCATCACAGACACACCTGTGTCATTTATATAACAAAGCACTTGTGCTACTGATATAGCAAATACAGAATATATTTATTTCTAACATGTGTACATCAGTGAAATTGAGCAGAAGGGTGGGCGGGGCACTCCTATCATGAGAAATCACCATTAACCTTGCAACAGTTGTTTTTGCTTAGCAACCAAACATTTCTTGGATTTTATTTTAGTATATCAATGTGAAAAATGTTTTCTCATGTATTCTTCTACTTATTGCAGGCATATGATCAAGCCAAGATGGGCAGTGCTATTTCAGTTGGGTCCACATTAATCTCACCTGAAATTCCCATAGTGGAATTTGCTGCTTCATCATGTGCTGTGTATGAAAATGAGAAACGAGTACGTGTTTATGTTAACAGAAGAGGAAACATACAACCTCAAGTTATATTCAAGTATGTCTCAGTTTGTGTCATAAAATATTCATAAATTTATATTTCAAAATATACAGTATCTTGTTCTGAAAATTACTTAGTAATACTCTTAACGTTGAATGATTTCAATAGCTGTAGAGAAAAAAAAATGTCCTAAATTTAATGTTTCAACTTGTAATAAATAATACACAAAGCGTATTATGATAAAAGTAATCACACATGTATAGTATCAGTTTTTAATACTGTTCTCCATAATATTAATTCACCAGTTTAGTATACACTTGTTTACAGAGTGGTTCTTTTGACACAAAGCTTGGGGAACAGACAAGATCTATCATACACACCCAGCTGACACACCTAGTGACAATTGTCAACCATAATACGTGTACCATTGACAGATATCACATGATATATTCACTTTCTTCTTGTATTGCGCTGTACTGTTGGACTCAAAATTAACATTAACCTAAGGCATCAAAGACTATCATGTCCCTGACATGCTTGGCTCCCACTACAGATTCACCTATTCACCCAAGGCTATGTTCATTGATAAGTGGCTAAATAAAAAAAAAAAATTGCTAAATGCTTCACTGTATTATTCATATATGGTAGTCAGATAATCCATGATAAAACAGTGACTTGACCAGTTTTTTTGAAAGTTGTTTCCACCTAGAGGGATATTTCTAGTGCTACTGTTTTCTAAAATTAGTATCAAAACAGGACTACCCGGTACTTAAATGTACAACAAATTTACACTTGGTTTTCTAAATTAACAAATTGAATAATGACATTAATTTATTTGTGTTCACATTTTTGTGGCACTAAGATCTAACAAATTGACTCCTTCTCTCCAGACTTCCAAGATTATTTTTTTCAATTTTTAGCTTTATGCTAATTGATACATTTAGTTGGTTGCTTCTTTTCAGTTTAACATTTTCAGATAAAAAAAAAAAAAATTGAGTAACCACCCAATCAACAAAACATGCATATGACTTTGATAACCAGTTACTGTCAGTACCGGTAGATATAATTGCCCAGTATGACTGTTTTAGACATTTTTAGTCATTTTTGATTAGCCGTTGTCTCTTGAATGTAGTGTATTTAGGTCTCTTGTCTTGCATTTACTGTTCTTGTTTATGTAACCAATTTATTTCCTTCTGAAATATTTTACATCTTTCAATAAACTAAAAAAAAGCATAATTTCATAGATGTCATTCTAGCCAGTTGCTATGGTGATAGATTCAAAAATAAAGTTATTGCCATCTTAGAAATCGAACATGTATAGATAATCATTCATGTGTCAACACTTGTCAATATCACTGAATTATTAATTAGCACTTTGTGAAATTACCATCAGTATAATCCTTGTAATGATTGTTGTACAGTGTAGCTCAGGTCACTGATCACAAGTGTTATGTTACAACATTTTAGGCATTTAAAAGTTATGTTATACTGTAGTTCTACTCAACAGTGTCTTACATGATCTGTTTTTTTTTCTCAAGGACATTCGATCTCCTTTCCAGGATTTCTATCAGACTGGTTCAGAAATACTTTGCTATTAACACGCCCGTTGATGCCATTTTTTTCTAATTCATTTTGGCTGTCTGTAAAGGATTCCAGCAGATGACGTGTTATAACTATGATAGTTGTTAAATACTAATGCACAAATTTACAATCATTTAATATACAGTGCCATGGCAGTTACTATAATAACTTTAATATTGATTGAGTTCTAAACAGCCATGAACTTATCTACAAAACTGTATACTTTCCGTAGTAACATAAACTCACCATCCCACCCTCACAATAATACCTAATTTTTAAATTGGTGTGCATATTGCAAATACTGTCCTCTATTGAACTATCACAAATGTCTGACCTTTGGGCCTTTATGTCACTTACAGGCAGGAGAATAATACTTGTTGTGAAATTTATCACTTAAATATGCACAGCAGGGCGTTATTGCAGCTCAGCTGGTGTTAAACCATTCTTCATTTTCCCATATTACAGTATTGACTCATTTCATGATGTACATGTGGTGCATGTCATTTGTAATTAGGATGAAAATTAGGGATTTGATAACTATATCATCTATCTATTATTATCTACAGAATGCTATCTTCATTGGTATTGGGTTTGTTGAATGAATTGTCCTTTTTGTTGTGAAGCAATCCAAAATTTTATTTTTGCCTTAATTTATAGTTTCCAGTCAAGGAAAATTTGAATAAATGTTTCCTCGCAAATCATATGGTCACCAAACTTAAAATTTTATTTCACAATGAAAAGCTGTTATATGTCTTAATGCTACTTTGTCAAGGTATTTTCATACTTTCATCATTTTTTTTTTTTCAAATTAAATCTGCTTTAATTAAGTACAACCTAAAGTCTTTGATTTGTTTACCCAAACTATAAAATTAGCCTCAGCCTTGATTGAACTGACTGAAAACTAAGTAGTAATATATTTGTTCATCTACGTTACAGCAATAATTGGAAAATTTTTATCTCCCTCAGGCTAAGTATATGAGAAGTTGAACAGGTGGTTAAATGGTTACCATGACTTCGGTGCATGATTTTAAACATACCCAGAGTAATAAATTATCATCTAAAAATATAACACTATAGTGGCGTTCACGTTAGAGATCTCGGCATGTATGAACTTGTGTATGAACGGTTGGGACCGAGTCGGCACGTGCCGAAAAGAACTCGATCTCGGTCCCGATAGATGCTTGGGACTGAAACTCGGCACGTGCCGAGATTTGCTGCCTGAACGCTTGGCACGAGCCGAAATCATACCCCAGACCATTCGTCCC